GTTCTTAAAAAGCATACTACCGTAATTTCAATGTAAGGATACCTTTTCCACAAACGATTTCTATATTTATTTTTTCCTTTTTTCCCCCCATTCAACATGTTCTGAAGTGCATTTTGCCATAGTTGGTGAGGATAAGGTACCAACAACTGTCACTTGGCATGTGATTAAGCATTGGTAAAATAGCATTCAATGTCTACAGAAGTGGACAGTTGCCTGTACCAATATTAATTGTTATCCTGATATTGCATCATTTGGATGAAATTTATGACTTTCTAGACATCGCACTTTTTGTTGTGCCAACAACCTTTTGTGATCATACATGTATCAAGGAAAAATGAACCCGCTCATCTACTTTTATAATCTCGATTACCTATCAATGGTAGAGAGTATCGTGTCGCTACGCTGAAGTTTGACATTGTAACACCACAAACTCTACTAAAGTAGTCACCTTTACAAGAACGACCCTCAATGGGACTATATAATAATTCAGCTAACTGAAAATTTACATAATGTCGTATCTCCTCTAATTGCGAGTATATACTTTTCATCTTATATCTTATCCATTCTAACTTGATAGTACATTCATAGTAACTAATTATATAGCAAGTTGAGTGGATTATCATGCAAATACTGTCCTCATAAAATATGCCAGCAAGGTGAAAGAGATCCCATTTGTTTCTAATATCAAATCCAATTGCATTTGGTGGAATGTAGCTCTCACATTTTTAGTACTTATTTGGTTTACTCAAGCACAGTATGTTCCTAGTAGCAAATAATGAAGTCACATGTGAGTTGTCAAATTGTCTGGAAAATCTTGGCCTAAATTTAAAGTTCTGGAATAGCTTTTCCTGTTCATTTATTTATTTATTTCAGCATGGCCTAAAACAAGTTAGAAGACATGTACTGTGCACTATTTTTGTGTTTAATATGCTAGATGGACGGGAATGGACAAGACAACCGACAATTTTTATCACAACTTTTTTTCTTTTAATCGTGTTCAATCTTATGAATCAAACATACTCTACGTTTTCTTGGGGCTGTTTTGGTGCAAATCTCAGTTCGTTGCCTAGTGAAACCTTGGTTCAATACAACGTAATGAATAAATTGAGTGGCTAATGTAAAACAACGAATATAATTTTATGATTCTAACCTCGAACAAATTTGAGATCCGCTACATGAATATTTTCACTTTGCTTCGATTAATCTCCATACTTTAGGATATATGAATTCAAAACCTTTGCAAGCACATTGACTCATGCTAATTTTGATCCAAGTCTTCCATTATGTTCCGTTAGAAACATTTTTAAAAAATAATAATAATAATAAATAGGGAAAATTGCAGCCGAGGTACCAAACCTTTCGTTTATTAACAGACTTTGCCCAAACCTTCATTTTGTGCCAGCGAAGGTCCCAAACCTTTCATAGATATGCAACCGAAGTCCAGATGGATGGAATCTGTCAATTTGACCGTTAATTGACCAAGAAAAGTAAATGTTGACCTATTTTGACTAAATTGGAAAAGATAAAATAGTAACTTGATAATTACCATATTAAATAAATTGAAAAAAAAATAAAAAAAGGGTTGTCTTCTTCAACCACCCCACCCCATCCCGAACCACCGTCCCGAAAATGAACCTGTTATCTAAACCACCGACGACTCCCGCATGGCTTTACCACCAACCCACTTCCGACATTACTCCTCACCTGAATCCCGAATCTCGACGCCACCAACCCACTTCCGGCTTTACCACCAACCCTAAACCCACTTCCGACATTATAACAAAAACACCATATCTGCCAAATTTTATACCATTTTAATAACAACCGATTCTCAAGACTTGAAGCCCAACAAGAACATATTGTTCAAATTTATCAAAACCCAACCCAAAATGAAGATCTATGAGTTACTCTCTCACCATGCACGGCAGAAGATTTGGATTAAAAGGGAAAAAATCAGAATAAATAAAAGGAACAATTGGACAAGAATCGAGCTTTTGGGTGGGACGGAGGTGGAAGCGAGAGTGGGGGTGTGGTGTTGAGTTAGAGAATGAAGGTTGGAGTGGGGGATGGTGGTGGCCGGTGGATGGCGGACGGCACCACTGACGATGGCCTACTGCAATTTGGATTGGGGGCGGGGGGGAGGTGGGGATGATGCCCACATTTTTTCTCTTTCATTTTTTTTTTTAATTTATGGTTTATCTATTTAACTTATTTAATTAATGGGATAATATGCAAGTTACTATTTTGCCCTTACTAAGATGGTCAAAATTGAAGTCAAAGTCAGTTCTTTGATTAACTAACGGTGAAATGGATGGATCCCATCCATCTGGACTTCGGCTGCATATTTATGAAAGGTTTGGAACCTTCGCTGATACAAAATGAAGGTTTGGAGATAGTCTGCTAATAAACGAAATGTTTGGTACCGCTGCTACAATTTTCCCTAATAAATAATTATGTAATCAGGTGTAATGCCCAGCTGCCCACGCACTTGATTGAGTGCACATAATATTAGTTTGGGGAATTACTGGCCCAGGTCACATGGGTTACCCCTTTAAGAAAGGCGAACGGTCACTTTCTTGTAAAGCTGGCATGATAAAAGTGACAACGAAACACCTAAGAAACTTGCTACTTGCAACAAATAGTAGGTTCATTTCATCTCTAATTGAGTCAGAACAACTTTTTTTCAAGTATTCTGCCGTCACTAAAAAAGAGGTTCTTGTTTGTAAGACTGACGCAGTCTCGATAGAACAGTAAGAGAGAAGATAGACCTAAACTAGCATGATATGTTGGAGTTGCTAATGATCTAATCGCTTTAAATCTTCTAAAAGATCTAGCATCAAAATGAATAAAAAGAGAACAAGGACTAATGCAGCTGACCCTAAATTTGTGTTGAAGTCTTTATACAGATACATTCAACGCTCATCAAGATTTCACACAGAAAAAGCATCAACACAAGTATTTACCTCAATAGATCTGACTCGTACTTAGATATATGTTATCAATCAAATTTTTCAACATTAAGTGTGCATTTGGTACCCAGTAATGGATAGTATTAGACATAATAATGAAGATTTTAGCTTCTTTTGTTACATTTATGCTGTCCAGTATTTTCCATTTCACCTAACAAACATGCCACGAGTACTTGGTGTAGCTTGACTGCTTGAGCATATTCTTTCTCGAAGAAGTTACGTCACCAGGAAACTGCAGTCAATTATTTACATTATTCATTTTTCGATAATAAAAATATCATAAAGTAATGGAAAATGAAGGAATGCCAAATGTTTACGAAGTCCGTAGAGGCAGTTGACAGATTAGGTTTCTAATGCCATAGATGCTTTAACAGATTACCTCATTGTTCTTTTGCCCTTTTCCGTGCCAAAAACCGCTCTTTAGCTGCTGCCACTGCATCGTCACTTCTTTTGTGATGTTCAGGTCTTGGTTGATTAGTAGTAGATGGCTTGGCTGCAGCTTGATCTTGTGTGGAAGCATCAGAAACAGGCTCTGCAAATCCCTCTACAATTTTTTCCTCTGAAGATCGATCCTCAGAAGTTTCCCTATGTTGCCTCTTTATCAGCCTAGATGATTCTGTGCTTGTATTGGTGGCCGGAGCAACACTTTCTGTTGATTCTTGTGATTGAATCACCATTTCTTCTTGCTTCTCTTTCGGCTTCCCTGAGACGGCCACTCCACCACCAAAAGCAACATTTTTCCCAAGGTTAAAGTAGAAGTCACTAATGTCAGTCTTCTTTGTAACCTATTAATTTATTTTAAAAAAAGAAATTGAGTAAATTATTGTTCGAGGCATATGAGTGGATATAGACTTGTTAACTAATAAAACAGAACTAAGAGCAACATCTGTAAACCAGCATACCAGGAGACGGAAAACAAAGGAAAAGGCAAAAATGAAAATATAGACAGGAAGCAAAGAAAAGCAATATGAGAAAAGAAAACGAGAGTATTTTGTACTCAAAATTGTAAGTGAATTTCTGATTGATGAGGGTATAGAAGTTGTCGAATCGCTTCCGATAAGCAGTACAAGTTTGATGTAATTTCAAAGCACTTGAAGCCAAATATAAGTATGAATTTTTAGAGAAAGATAATATTTTTCAAAATACAAGGATAACCGCAAGGTCCACAACAAAAGACAATCTCGAGACAGTCAATTGTATTCTCCTCGACGTGAGGCCATCGAAAAGAATGAGGATGAGCTCATCCAGATGGAAAATGCTATATAGCCATGCAGCATATCCAGTCTGTTCAAATAACAATTCAATTTCACAAGTTAAAAAGGACAAATTGAAATAGTGAAGGCAACAGGTAGAAAATCCAGGAACCGTGTCTAGAAGCCCAGATGAATGTTCTGACGCTGAATCCATAGGAAGATAGGACCACCTACAAGCTCATTCAGGTATGATCACCTCTCCCTTCCCCATATCAACCAATTGCATATAAGAAGAACATTAAAACACTGCAGTTTATTTGTACCATATCCAGGCCCAGAACATTATTATACAGTGGAAGTCATCGGCAAGTATGATCCTCTCCAGTTCCAGATACAAGTTTCTTTTGCTTTAAAATTTCACATTTGGAAACAGTGCCTAGATTACCCAGTTCCATTTTACTTATTCCCTCTGCAAGTGTTCCAAACTTTCAATATAAGACATTCCTCAGTTATTGAGCGCTTTTATAGAAATTAGAATTGTATAATGAACGTAAGAATATATCAATTCCATGAATGCCACATTTAACAAAAAATCAGAGAAAAGAAACATATGTATGTAATTGGTGTAGAAGATAATAATTACTTAAAATCGCAGCAAAAATGATCCATTGATCTTATGGCTATACATGCAATTTCAACGGGCCATAATGCATTTCAAGCATAAAAGAAGTGTGCACAGCCACACAGGAGAAAAAGTACCAGCGGG